AAACAAACAAACAAACAAAAAGTTCTGCAAAGATTGTATGTCTCAGGGGCCAGGGAGATGGCTCAGTAGGATAAGTGCTTCCCTGGCAAGCTCAAGGGTCTGAGTTCAATCCCCGGTTCCACCAAAAAGAAAAAAAAAAAAGATTATGTATCTCAGGATCCTGAGTTCAATCCCTGGTACCACAAAAAAACAAACAAACAAAAAAACCCCACAAAACCATATATATATATTTTTTTTTGAAATTATTACATTGCCACTAATAACTGGAAATATAAAATAGTACAAAATTATAAATAAAAAACCAGATACAGGGTTGGCCAGATAGCTCAGCAAACTAAAGCACCTATTTAGGCAGACACGGGCCAGGGCTTCAGTCCCCAGCCTGCTGTGTCAGGAGATGGAGAATGAGACTGAGTGTGGTGGCACATGCCTCTAATCCCAGTGCTTGGGAGGCTGAAAACAATAAGGATCATCACTACAAGACCTGTCTGCATAGTGGAACCTTGTAGAGCTGGAACTAAATACATTTTTTTAAAAAGTTTAAAAACCAGATACAGTAGCACACACCTGTAGTTCCAGACTCAAGAGGCTGAGGGAAGAAGATTATAAATTTGAGAACAGCATGGGCTACATAGTGAAGCCCTTTGGCAATATATAAAGTGGCTGATCAGAAATATTTATGACATAGTTCCAAGTGAAAAAACATAGTATGACTATCTGTACCCCATAGCAAAGTCCTGGAAAGAATGCAAGAAATTTCAGTTTAACTTGTTGAGTGGTAAAATTGTGAGGGGCATCTCACTCTGATTAATTCCCCTTTTGGCTTTGTTTTCTGAGATAGCCCGGGCTGGCCTCAAACGCAATGGCAGTTCTCCTGCCTCAGCCTCCTGAATGCTAGGATCATAGGCACATGCCATCATGCCCAGCTTCTGCTTTTGTTAAGGCTGATTGATTGAAAAACTTTGTTGAGGGGCTTGCCAGTTAGTTCAGTTGTTTACAGCACCTGCTTGGGCAAACTCAGTCACGCAGGAGACTGCAGTTCGATCCCCAGCTCCGCAAGCTGCACCAGACCTGCCCTTAAGGCAGCCTGAGCTAGCCAAAAAAAAAAAAAAGAAAAACTGTAAAAAAATTTTTTTAAATTAAATAAGTTAGTTGAGTATGTTCTCATTTCCAACCACAAGAGGTCCCCCACACACCCTCCCCTACCATTTCTAGGAGTCCAAGATTGATCTCCTTGATCGAAAGGAAGATGTAAAGAAAAAATTGAAGAAGGCCTTCTGTGAGCCGGGCAATGTGGAGAATAACGGGGTTCTGTCCTTTATCAAGCACGTCCTCTTTCCTCTCAAGTCTGGTAAGACTCCCTGCTTTCTTCCCAGAGGCTGGACTAGAAAAGTACAACTCCTGCTGTGATCTTGCTTGTGATATGACACAGATTCTTCCTCCAGAGCTGGCTGCCCTGAATCTCTGCTCTGAGTTCTTATACATGAATGCATGGAAGAGGCTGTGTACCCTTTAGCTGTCGATGTGTTTGTCATCAGGCTAGGTTCTCAGGGGCTGTCAGGGTAGTCAGGGATATCAGAAATAAGGATGGGGCAGGATGGAACAATTCTAAGCCGCAGTCCTTGTGCAGGACCAAAAATTAGAAATGAACTGTCATATAATATTCAAAATATATAGTAAAAACTATAAATGATCACATCAGGAATGCTAATTGCTATTAATAGTGGATTTGTTAATACAGTTGTTTTTTCTTTTATTTATTTATTTATTTTTTTGGCAGAACCAGGGATTGAACTGAGATCCTTGTGTTTGCCAGTCAAGCGCTTATCCTACTGAGCCATCTCCCTGGCCCATGTTTTTTCTTTTAGAGTTTGTGATCCTTCGAGATGAGAAATGGGGTGGAAATAAAACCTACACTGCTTACCTAGACCTGGAGAAGGACTTTGCTGGTGAGGTAGTATGAGAGGAAAACGATCCTGACCACCCTTTCCCTCTTGGCCTAATGTGGTTTGTAGCTACGTGCCACAGGGTTATTTCCTCCTTTTTTTTTTTTTTTTTTTTCAGGAAAGGGTCTACAGGGTGTTCAGGGTCTCACTACCAGATCGGACTCATAGTGATCCACCTGTTTATAGCCTCCCAAGAGCTGAGATTCCAGGCAGGGTTATTCCCTGATGTTCTCCAGTGCTTTATTAATGACTTAGATGAGGATACGTATGGTTCATTGATTGGATGGGCAAATGGTACAGAGCTAATCTTATCACTCTCCAAAGAACTGGAAGAGTGGGAATGAAAGACTACATGGAACAAGAGGAAATATTAAAAAAAAAAAAAAAAAGAAAAGAAATATTTCAAGCAAAGGGGAAAAACGAATGACAGGGGCCGGGGATATAGCTCAGCAGCATAAGCACCAGCCTAGCAAGCACAAAGTCCTGAGTTTGATCCCCAGTAACACACACAAAAAAAGGCTAGCTGGCTGAAGTTGTAAGTCCTTAGTAGGATGTGTTTTGCATGTTTGAGACCTGGGTTTGAATTTGACACCCCAAAAAACTAGTGCCACAAAAACTTGGTACACACATGAAGTGAGAGATGCAAGATATTTCCTAATGTTGGAGCCCAACCTTTAAAGCTTTTCTCATCGGGGTTGTTCAACCCATATTGCCATGTATCAGTACTACTGTCACCATTTCTACCCACTTTATGTGACTTAATCTTCATTCTAACTACGAGATATAGCTATTGTTATCCTGATGTTATAAGTAAAAAGAGTCAAAACTTGAAGCCAAGTGTGGTGGTACACACCTGTAGTCCCAGCACTGGAGAGGCTGAGGCAGGAGGATCACCACAAGTTTGAGGCCAATCTGGACTACATAATGAGCTCAAGACCAGCCTGAACTACATATGATGACCCTGTCTCAGAAAGCCAAGGGAAAGAAGTTGTAATTTCAGTAGGTTACATGCCTAGTTTGGAGTCAGACAGCTGGCTGGAAATCTAATCCACATGTGTCTAACTCTAAAACCCTTGCATACAAAAAAAATAAATAAATAAAATAAAACCCTTGCATTCTTCCCTGTCATTCAGACTTTAGCCCTTGGGTTATCTATATAAACATTTTCTACCTCTGAATACCACTAGGTTTATGCTGCTATTCTAAGCATATATATGGAGAAGCAGTAATATATCCCTTCAGCAGCACATATACTAAAATATATGGAGAGGCAAGGAGGATTAGACTAATACATTCTAAAAGGCCTCAAGTCATTAGAGTGCTGAGATCCAAAAGGCCTGGACTTCACACAATGTTAGGCTATCTGAATTTCTCTTCTCTGCTTTGTCTCACAAGATTACTGTGAGGAACAAGACTTTGAAGGCAAAAACTGCCTGTATCTTTAGGTTGGAGAGACAGCTTGGAAGTCTAAGTGCCTGCCTGGCAAGCACCAGGACCCAGGTTTGATACCTAGTACCTCAGTGTGCTGGCCCTGGAACGCTGGGTGGGCAAGCTGGGCCAGCCATCAAAACTGGGCATGGTGGCATCCCCCCTGTAATCCCAGCACTGGGGAGGCTGAGACAGGATCACTATCAGTCTGAGCTGCATAGTGAAACACTGTACCAAATAAATAAATACAAGATTTTTTAAAAATTAAAAAATCTGCATTGTATGTATACATTCTGGGGTCCTATGCCTGTTCCAGGACTCATCTCACCAGGTTTTGTTCATTTCTGCAGGTTGTACATCCAGGAGACCTGAAGAATTCTGTTGAAGTTGCCCTAAACAAGCTTCTAGATCCCATTCGGGAGAAGTTTAATGCCCCTGTGCTGAAGAAGCTGGCCAGTGCTGCCTACCCAGATCCCTCAAAGCAGAGTAAGGCTATCTGGGGCAGGGTCCTGGAGCCGGGCAGGACCAGCCAGGGGTGAGAACGTCAGGAACGAGCCTGTCGGCTGGCCTCAGATACACATCTACTCTTAAAACCAAAGCGCCAGGGGCCCACCCATTAGCTCAGTTGTTTAAGTGCCTGCTTAATGGAGGCAGTCAGTTTCTTTGAGCAGTGGTTCCATTCCCACATACTAAGGCAACCCAGACCAGCGCTGCTGCAGGTCAATGGGGAGCTACAAAAAAAAAAAAACCAAAGCGGGGCTGGTGAGATGGCTCAATGGTCTAAAGCACCTACTTAGTACAAGCTAAGCTAAGCAAAAACACAGGAACCGCGGTTCAATCCCCAGCACCACATGCCAGCCAGCCCCGCCCCCCTGGTGGGCTGAGCTGGCCACACACACACCCACACACGCAATAAATAAATAAATAAATAAATATTAAAAAAAAAAACCAAAGCGCCAAGAACCCAGCTGGTCGGAAGTTCAGGGATGTCTTATCCTATTGACATGTAGAATGGAATGGGACTCCTTTTGATTTGGTTTGACTCATTCTATGAAGTAGTGAAGGGCCAGAGAGATAGCTTCACAAGCATAAGCACCAGCTTGGCAAGCACAAGGTCCCAAGTTAGATCTCCAATACTGTAAAAAAAAAAAAAAAAAAAAAGGCTGAAGTAATGACACCCTGTTACGCTACCACTCTCAGGGAAGCTGATGTGAGACATGTAGTTTGACTGTTTCTAGTCTGTTACTAAATCTGCTTCTACAGTAAAAGAGGTAGGCTTAGACCAGTTGGTATATAAGTGATGGTCTGTTACACAGCTGCTCAGGAAGAGCCTGCAGGGCTTCTCAGAGGAGCTTATCTTTGAATTCTCCGTGGTTCCTTCCATCACTCCTCCCCTGCCTCTTAGCCATCCACTTAGCAGTGATGCCAAGATAGTAACATTGATAGCTTTTTGTGACCCTCCCCTCCAGCCTAATAACTAAGGAAGAAAATAGATGAAAATCTTGCCACGTGTGGTGACACACCTGTAATCCCAGCACATGGGGGGGGGGGAGTGCGGAGGCAGAAATTCCAGACAAGTCTAAACTGCATAGAAAGACCCTGTGTCGAAAAAGAAAAGATCTGACATGTCATTTCTGAAAGGTTGCTGACCCTGTTTTTTATTTTAAAAAGTACAATTCAGTGGGTAGGTTTTGGGGGTTTACTACTAAATCCTACCTAATCTCTATTCTCCTCTTGGTGGGGTCAGCAGCTGACCTGCCATGAGGAGGAGGGGAGCTGAGCCTATGGGGTTCTTCTCATTCCCAGAACCCACTGCCAAAGGCCCAGCCAAGAATTCAGAACCAGAGGAGATCATTCCATCCCGGCTGGATATCCGTGTGGGGAAAATCATCAGTATAGACAAGGTATTCGTTTTTCACCACATCCTAGAGACAGACAGGTCAGCTTTGTCTGTTTCCATCTGGAAGAAACCTGGTCTATAGAGGAAGTAACATCCTGCAGTCATATGAAGTCAGAACCCAGGCATCTTAATTCCAGCCATCAGGCTTCCGGTAGCGATCACTGCCTCTGGACAATATGCAACCCAACATAGGCAGGACCCGAGTGTGGGGGTGGGCAGGGGCCGATGTTAGTCTGAGGAAACTTGTTTATCCATTAAGTTTGGTTTTTGGGGGGTACTGGGGATTGAACTCAGGACGTTAGGCTTGCCCAGGCAGGCGCTTATGCCCTTGAGCTATCTCCCCAGCTATCCATTAAGTTTGGCCTGACGGGGCTGGCGAGATGGCTCAGTAGAGTAAGCACTTGCGTGGCAAGCCTAAGTGTCTGAGTTCAATCCCTGGTTCTACCAAAAAGAAAAAAAAAGTTTGGCCTGACAGACTTCCCTGGTCCAGCTTGCCAGGACCACCTGTGAGGCTTATCTTGGATCAGCTGCTTTGCCCTTCAGACAGTGGTGGGTAGAGGACCTTCATTTTTCCCAGAGATAGTTCATGGAGCTAGTGGCTGGGGACCATTGTCTTGTGCTTTTTTCCCACAGCATTGATTTGCTTTGGGCAAATGCCCTTGAAATGGCTGCTGGTGCTCCTATCTCAATGGTGAGGCCAACCCTTGTTCTCCCCACTCCCAGTCCCCTGGGACCAGCGGGTACAGCGTGTGTACAGATAATGGTAGCCATTTAATCTCTGTTAGAGAGTCTTCCACAATTAGTTTGTTTCCTCAGATGCAGCCTTGGCTAGGAGTAGAATGTACCTTCAAGATCTATTCTGTCTTTGGACCTTGGAAATAAAGTTACCTCTACAGCAGTGGTGGTGGGCCTGTGGCACATGTGCCACAGCCCACTGTTAGCTATCCTTGAAAGCTCTAAAAGGGTCACCATCACTGCCCTAGAAGGTTCCCTTTCTGGAGGCTGAGTTAAACCAGCCCTCAGTCTACTCCACCGGGAAACTCTTCCCCCTGATATCTCTTGCTGGCAGCATCCAGATGCAGACAGCTTGTATGTGGAGAAGATCGATGTGGGGGAAGCTGCACCACGGACAGTGGTGAGCGGCCTGGTGCAGTTTGTGGCCAAAGAGATGCTGCAGGACAGACTGGTGGTGGTGCTCTGCAACCTAAAACCCCAGAAGATGAGAGGAGTCGAGTCCCAAGGCATGCTTCTGTGTGCTTCTGTGTGAGTGAGGGCTTGGAGCGGGGCTCCAGACCCAGGGAAGCCAAGGAGAGGGGCAGTTAGCTCATACAATGCCCTTCCACATCCCAGGTGGAAGCCCAGAGAAAGCTCACCTTTACCTCATTGATGGTAAAAGATGGTGCATGAAGGAGTCACTGTACTGAGTACTCTGAATGAAGCACTTTACTGAAAGTTAATTTTAATAAAAAAAAAATTGAGGTATGAACATACCCAAGTCTTACTCCTAGTAAGGAGTGGAGCCATAGTTCAAACCCAGTTCTGACTGGCTATAAAGTTCTGTGGTATTTCATACTTCCTCCTCTAGAGACCCACAGTTGGTCTCTTTCCCCACATAGCCACGGTTAATCTGACCGTGGTAGTGTCCAGAGGCAGTGACCTCCTGGCTACTGCATTGAGGATGTCCTAAATTCCATGAGGGCCCCCTGTAAAGGCCCACACCTTGCAAGCCTTGCTCAGCCTCACCCTACCCATCTGTGTGTCTTCCCAGAGAAGGTCCAAGCCGCCAGGTTGAACCTCTAGACCCTCCTACAGGCTCTGCTCCTGGTGAGCGAGTGTTTGTGAAGGGTTTTGAGAAAGGCCAGCCAGATGAGGAGCTCAAGCCCAAGAAGAAAGTCTTCGAGAAGTTACAGGTAAATGGTACAGTTGTTTCCCCTCTTGTCTGGGCTGCCTGGTCTGTCCCTACTCTACCTTGTTATTCACTCACCCTGAAGCCGCCTCTTTCTTAGTTGGGACTTCATGTATCTGAGCTCCTCTTTTTTCTAAACTTTCCTGAATCTGAGAGGGTTGGGGACTTGGAAGAAGCTCTCATGTACTGAGCACTGACAGATTATTGAGGCACATTGTGAGGAATGTCAGGCACGTGCATGTTTGTTTTTCAGTATGTGACAGGAGCTGGTGGAGATTATCTCCATTTTACCAGGCAGGATACCTGCCATACAGAGTCACCAGAGGTCATGGGGCCAGGGCTGGGGTGTAGCTGAAGGTAGAGTGCTGGTGTGACTTGGTTCTGGTTTCAATCTCCACAAAAGAAAAATGAAAGGGCCAGGGAGATGGCTCAGTGGAATAAGCGCTTCCCTGGCAAGTGCAAGGTCCTGAGTTCAATCCCCAGTTCCAAAAAAAAAAAAAAAAGAAAGAAAGAAAGAAAGAAAGAAAGAAAGAAAGAAAGAAAGAAAGAAAGAAAGAAAGAAAAATGAAGTGAAAAAGCTAGGACCAAAAACCTGCTAGGGTGCCTCTTCGCTGCCTTAAGCTTAGAACTTTTTTCTCCTGGCCCCCTGGACATTGACTTACCTATACCCTGCCCCATGAACCCTGAATTTTTTTTGTACCAGGAATTGAACTCAGGATCTTGTGCTGCTGAGCTGTATCCCTGGCTCTGAATTCATTCATTCATTCATTCATTCATTCATTCATTCATTCATTCATTCATTGAACAAATACTGAATTTATATCTGTCAGGCACTCTTCTAAATTCTTGAGTTATGTCAACGAACGGACCATCAAAACTTGCTTGTCCTTATAGAACTAACATTCATGAGTGGCTTTCTAATTAATACCTTGTTTGCTTAGGGGCCGGGGAGATAGCTCAGTAGAATAAGTGCTTGCCTGGCAAGTGCAAGGGCCTGAGTTCAATCCCTAGTTCTACCAAAAAAAAAAAAAAAAAAGAATACCTTGTTTGCTCAAAGGGTTTTCTGGAGGCTCAAAGGGTTATCCAGGTTACCTCCATTTCCAGCCTCGTGTGTATGGCAGGTGACAGTGCCCATTGCTTTCTGGCTTTCTAGGCTGATTTTGTGAATCACTTATTTTTTTCTGGTTATAAAATATTTTCACTGTAGAAAATGTCTAAAATATGGAGGTGAGGGTACATAGAAAAAAAGGCCAGTAGCAGTGTGTGGTGGTGCATACTGTGATCCCAGCACTCGAAAGACTGAGGCAAGAGGATCATTGCAAGTTCCAGACCAGCCTGGCCTACTAAGTGAGCTCAAGACCAGCCCAAACTGCATAGCGAGACCCTGTCTCAGAGAAGGAAAGCCATTGTCTTACCACAGATATGATTATTTCTTTCTGGGTTTTTTGTTCTGCATATAATACATTTACAGCTTGTTTCATACTAAATGTAAATTTTCATTTATGCCTGAACACTTCCCCATCTTAAATACTGAGGAAGTCACATTATATAATAGTCTATCATAGAACAATTTAACCAAAACCTTAGGCATTGAGGTCATTCTCCATTTTTCACTATTAGAATGTTATGATGGGCTTAGGGAAGCATAGCTCAGCGGTAGAGCATTTACCTAATATAGAGGACTTTCTACTTTTTGTTTGTTGTTTTGTTTTGTTTTTACACAGGTTTCTCTGCAGTTCAGGCTGACCTTGATCTAAGTAGGTAGCGCAGTCTGGCCTCAAACTCACAATTGCTGAGATTACAGGCCATGATTATATTTGTAAGTTAAATTCTACAATGAATTTACCCGAGTTGTCAACATGGAAACTTGTACTTAAGCTTGTACTTTGTTTTGTTTTGATTGAGATGTTAGAGATTAATTACAAGGAAACTACTCTTAGAAAAATTGAATCAGGTTATACTACAAGTAGTATAAAAGTGTAAGACTTTCCTTGTGGTTCCAACTACCACCTCTAATTCTCTTAATGTTGTGTGTGTGTGTGTGTGGTCTATCTTGTCCAGGCTGACTTCAAGATTTCTGAGGAGTGCATTGCACAGTGGAAGCAAACCAACTTCATGACCAAGCTGGGGTGCATCTCCTGTAAATCGCTGAAAGGGGGGAACATTAGCTAGCCCACCGGGCGTCCTCCTCCCTTTCCACTCTCCCAAGTCATTGTGGCCTCCTCGGTGTGCTGCATCCATCACCCATCGCTATCTCTCAGGACAGTGACGCAGCAGGTCTGGGACTTTGGCAGTGCTCCACTCCCGAAGGAGCAGTCACCTCCCGGAGTGCAGGCTCCTCCTGTCCAGGTGGTGAGACTGACCACAGCTCGCAAGGAAGGCTGGGCAGCAGCAGGAACCTAGCGCTACCTTCTTCCCTTGGCAACTGACTGGAAAATTCTGGTTTCAATATAACTCATAGAAAAAGTTTATGCCACAATCCTTGTAATTGGAAAAACATTGGTTCCCAAGTGTTCTTGGAGTTATCCCAGCAGCTGTGCCTCTAGCTGGGATCTAGTGCTTGGATTGGGCTAATTATGGCCTCTCCCCAACAGGAAATTGTGGGATTTGAAAAGGAAAGAGGAGGGAAAAAGAGAACCAGTTGTTTACTAGTGGTTGGCAGCTTTCTCCATGCCTGTCTGCCCTGTGGCTCAGTGGTGTCAGGAGGAAGGGCCTGCCCCAGGGATCTGAAACCGGCCGTTTTGTTAGCGTCAGGGTAAGACAGAACAGCCTGTTTCTTTCTCCAGAGAGGGTGGGCACTTCTTCATAAGGCATCTTAAATCACTAACCATTACTGTCAGATTCAAATAAAGTGTTTCACCAAGGGTGTCTGGATGGGGTCTGTCTGTGAACTGAACTCTTGGAGCAAAGTATACAGCAGCTTCTGGGCCATTCCTACAGCCTGGAGCTGCTTTTGTGTCCTGGCCTGTGACGGTGCAGGCTGGGGACTTAGATTCTTTGACTTTCCCTCCGGTGGTACTATGCAAAGAGGCGCAATGTCTTGGCCCCAGTGCTTGCTGCAAGCAGGGTATCTTTCTTTTTTTTTTGGTACTGGAACCAAACTTGTGCTTGCCAGGCAGTCACGTATGCTACTGAGCTATCTCCCCAGCCCTTTGTTGTTGTTTTGACAACAGTAGTTCCAACTAGTCTTAAACTGACTACATAGCCTAGGCTATGGTGATCCGCCTGCCTCAGGCTCCCAGGCATGCATCACCATGCCTTGCCCCTCCTATTAAGCATCTTTTGTGGTATGATGGCTGGGTTTTCAGGCTACTGTGTGAGATGTACTTTGCTCAAATCTTGTTATTAAAGGCCAGCCACATAGCTCAGTGGACTAAAGTACCTGCTTAGGCAGACGCAGGGGCTGGTGTGCACCCTTAGGGTACACTGAGATGGCAACTGAGACTGGGCATTGGTGGCACACACCTGTAATCCCAGCACTTGGGAGGCTGAAAACAGGAGGATCATACGAGTCCAGTCTACATAGTGAGACCCTGTACTACATACATTAAAAAAAAAATGGGGCCAGGGAGATGGCTCTGTGGAATAAGTGCTTCCCTGGCAAGCGCAAGGGTCTGAGTTCAATCCCCGGTTCCACCAAAAAATAAATAATAAAAAATAAAAATTACCAGTGTTACCCACTGAGGACACACGACCCATCTGACATTCGCCAGCGGTGGAGTGGGAGGTGGGGGTGGAAAAAGCAGCAGTCACAGCCAAGTTTCAATCATTTAATTAATACCTTTAAATGAAACACAGGCTTTTCATGTGTCTCAAGCTTTAGGACAGAGATGGATTTATATAGACATATCAAAGACTCAAAAATTTAAAGAAATATATATATACTTCTGTCTTCTAACATTTTTATGCAAATAAAAAATCAGAGGCTTTTGGTCTCTCCATTTGCACTCAGTCAAGTTAACATTTACCCCAGAGATAAAGGTTGCCTCTGCTAGATTCCTTCTCTGTTGTACTCTGGCCCACCCAGTGGGGAAATAAGCTCAGAAAGTCCTAAATGAGAAGGGCTCCAGCAACATTGGGTGAGGGCAAGGAAGGACACAAGTTGGCTCCCTCCTGCCTTCGGCATCGAGTATATTGCCAGGTTCACGGGGCTTGGGTGGGTCCTGGGTCCTAGGGCAGGCAGATGAGGAGCTCCAGGCAGAACAGTGCTTACAGATTGTCCTTCCTCGACTCACAGGGCAGGTGCAACACAACACCCACCAGCCGCTCCCCATTACCCACAGGGCTAGGGAAAGACTTGGTTTATAGCTATAGGGAAGATGGTGCTAATGAACTAAGTCTCAGGAGCAGCCTACAAACCCCCCATGTTACCAGCTCTTGGGGAGCAGGTGATGAGCCAGAGTGCCACCCTCCTGGTGACAGAAGCTAAATGCAAGGTTACTTGCCTGGCTCAAGTCCATGTCACTGGTAAGGATCAAGAAAGGATGGCTCTGGGTGGCAGCCAGGCTGCTGTAAAGGGAGGCACTATGACCACCCCTATAGAGTCACAAGGGCCACTGAGGAAGCCAGCTTACTAAACAGGTGGTACAGGCTAAAAACAGGTTGTTAAGTTCCCAGAGGAGAGATCAGTAGCACAGGCTGACACCTAGGGGACAGCCATGGGCCTCCTCTGTAGGAACACTGTGTGGCCCCTCACTGACTAGGGAGGTTGAATAAAATGCACCTTTAGCTTTTCCCATCCTTGCCATTCAGCCTGTTTCCCCAGCAGAACCACTCAACGCTGAAAGGTAGCTGCAGAAAGGACATCACTGAGAAAAGAGGTCCAAGGGCCAGATCTGGGCCTGCTGCCCAAACACTTCTCCCCTTGCCAATTCTCCTACCTCAGTACTCGCTGCCAGGCTGAAAGAGACAACAAGCCCATGGGCTTCTGCCTCTGAAACTGGGCCGAGCCACCCTGACCTGATCAAACAGGCAGGTGCCTGGCGCGCCAGGGACTGGCTGAGATGACTTGCTACTGTCTTCACATTCAGGGGACACAGAGGACCTCAGACCTCATCTGTGGCTCTTCCTCTACCCATCTGGGTCCTAGCAGTCTCCCCCTTGTCCCCTGCATGGAGCACCTGGCAGAACTGGAAGGCAGGAGGTTGGTAGTAAGTTGAGGCACAGGAAGGCTAGCTCCCACTGCACCTTTTGTGCTTTGGAATTCCAGTCCCACTCTGCCCTCAGCCTGGGGAAGCCTGTGGGAATAAGTGATTTGTTCACCTCCAAGAACTAAGGAGCAAACTAGATTGGGGGACAAGAGACAGACTGGCCCCAGATATGGACTGGTTACCAGAGATGGATGCTGCTGCCATGTAAACAGGCCCTTGAAATGTGGCTTCACAGGCCCTGAAAAATGGACACGTAGCCACTTGGGAAAGTGCTTTGATTCTGGACTACAGCATGTGCATGATTTGGACATTTAAAAAAAAAAAAAGCGTTCACACGCCTCTGTGGCCTTGTCGCCAGCAGGGGGCGCAGTCACCTCCCACCAGCTACCTCCTTCAAAATGAAGCTAAGGCAACGCTGAAGCAGCAACTGCTAGAGGTGAACCCTTTGAGAAAAGGCATGAGATGTGGGTAGTTTGGAGGACCGGGCAACACCAGGCTTGCATAAATATCAAAGGCCGTGAGGTTAAGGCTGCAGGCGTCCTCCCTTAGGTTGTGTCTGCCGTGTCCTCTGGTCCTTGGAGCTCCTCAGGTCCCTGAGAGATTGTATTCCTGGGATGGGTCAGCAGTACCAACAAGTGTGGTGGTCAGACCAATTCTTTCTGTGGCTCTGTAGGGAAGACAGGGACCCTTAGCAACAGGCCTCCTGGCTTGCTTCTGACATTAAGAACTCAAGACAGGGGCCTAGGAGATGGCTGAGTAGAATAAGCACTTCCCTGGCAAGCGCAAGGGCCTGAGTTCAATCCCTGGTTCTGCAAAAAAAAAAGAACTCAAGACACACCCTCACCCACCCTTCATCCTCACCCGCTCTTTTCCTATCCTTTACAGACACCTCGCCAGCAGCACTGGGCTGGATGCTTCAGACACTGTAACACAGGTGCCTCTGGCCGTGCTTCCTAGCACAGATGAACAGTAAGGATGGAGTAGGCAGAGTAGGTCTGATGCCTAAGCTGTGACTTACATTCCTTCACTACCTCATCAAGGACAGTATGCCTGTCCCAGGCATCAGAAGATCCAAAAGCAATGCCCAGTGGTGGGACCCTGGATGCTTATTCCCACCATCTGGGCTGGGACCCATGCCCCCCACTGCCCATGGTACCTGAGCCTGGGGGACTCATCTTCTCCTCTGGGCCTGCCAGCTTCACACCTCCGTTCTTGGCCAGCTCCCCCTCAGTCCTGTCCTCAGCATGAGGGAGCCCGTTGGTGGGAAGAGCAGTAAGGGACTCAGATGGAGACAAACCGGGGGAAGCAGGTGGAGGAACACCCACAGAAGGCTTTCGGGCCACAGGTGGGGGAGCCTTAGGTGGTTTCTTCAGTGCTTGAAGTGGACGCTGCTCTGAGATGCTCCGAAGTTCTGCCACCAGATTCCGCTGGAGGTCAGCCTGGGCCTCAGGGGACACAGGCCGCTCGAGGTGCAGCTTCTTAGTGCCCTTGGAAAAGATGAAGCTGGCCGTGCAGGCAGGGGACTGGGGAGACCGCAGCTGTGCCTCCGGTGCCCCATTCAGCTGGGAGGCCTTAAGTTGGACGGCAGCTTGGAGCCTTGAAGAGGGGGCAGACACAGGACTGGCCCGCCCTGACAGGGCCCTTCGGAGCGGCTTCTGGGGGGCTGGTGGCCCAGAGGCTGGAGTGGGAGCCCCTGTGGGAGAGCCCACAGAGCGCAGCCGCACCATCTGCAGCAGTGAGGGGGTGACCAGAGGTGTACCTGTGTCCTCCCTAGGAGTCCCACTGCTCTTGCTGCTGCCCACTGGCTCCTTCTCCTTCTGAGGGGGTTTGGCTAGAAGCTCAGGGACAGAACTACTTGGAGGTGGAACTGGTGGAGCAGGAGGAGGCTCTGGGGGACCCTGGGGCTGGCTCTGGGCAGAGACAGCAGCTGAAGGTGAAGCAGCTGAAGAGCTCACAGGCTCTGGGAGATCTGAAGGGCCTGCAGACTCAATACCAGCCACAGAGAAAAAAGCCTCCTCTGGTGGAGGGAAGTCTGCCATGGATAGGTCCTGCTCCTCAGATGCAGGAGGTGGGGGAGGGGGCCAGTTGGGGTCTAAGAGGGGTTCCTCAGCAGTCTCTGGGGCTGGTGGGGTCTCCTCAACCACCTCCAGCTTCTTACTAGGGGGTGGAGGTGGGTGATAAGATGGAGGTGGGGATGGTGGGGGTGAGTGGTCTTTGGAGACACTAGGAGACTCCTGGGAAGGGGTCAGGGATGTCTGGGGAGGAGGGGACTGAGGACTGGCATTAGTGGTAGAGCTGGGCCCAGGATCCACAGGTGGGGCAGCCAGAGCAGAGGCAGCCTGGTTAGGGGTTTTGGGCCTAGAGGGAGGTGGGGAGAAGGGGGCAGGCACCTTGGGGTGAGGAGGTATGACAAACCTATCAGCTATGGAGGTTGACATATGTGGACCAGAACGGTCTAAGGGGGTAGGATCAGAGGAGGAAGAACACAGAGATGTAAGAGAAGAGGACACAGAGGTTCCAGGAGATCGAAGGGATGTGACACGCTCTGGTTTAGGGGGCTGGGCCTTGCCTGGGGAGGCAGGGGTACCTGCTAGCCCCTTGGGAGGGAGAGTCGGGGTACCACTTTGGCTCGAGTATCCACTGGAGGGTGAAAGTGTCCGTTCTGGGGAGTGTGGTGGGCACCGGGAACCACTAGGAGACAAGCCAGGCACCCAGCCACCTGCTGAGTTGGGTGGACAGGGTGCTGCCCCCACCCTTTCTGACCCACCTGTAGTGGGTGGCCGGGGCAGCTGTGGCTGCTGCTTCCGCTCAGGCTTGGGAGGCAGCCCTAAGGGCCCATCAGGTGCTGCTGAGCCCCGCTGATGGAGAGAGTAGGTCCGGCGGGGCGGTGGTGGAGGGCGCTTCATCTTTCGTAGGGACACGCTCCGGCCAGATAACTGCCCACTGCTCCGAATGCTGGCCGTGTCCGAGGCTTCCGCAGTGCTACCCCCACTAGGGGAGCCCCTCCCACTGCCACCTTGAGGCAGGGGAGCCACACTGGCGTTAGTCACAGAGCCCTCTGGCTGGCCCTCAGAGCCGCCCTTAGAAGAGAGGGTAGAACCGTCAGACACAATGGTATCAGAGGACTGAGAGTGGCTCCAGGTGTCACTAGAGGAGGAAGGATGGCGACTGCGGGGCTGGGGGCTGGAGGCTGAGGAGAAGCGGCCCAGCGAACGGATGGAGGCTGGGCTGGCTGAGACCAGGCTGCAGCGGCTCAGTGTGCGCAGACTAGAGCGGCCCAGGGCTACCACATCCACTGTGGGTGGCAGCACAGCATGTGGGATCAGCTTTGACAAGTAGGTACCCTGGGGTGAAATGGACATGGCTGGGCTTAGGGGCTCTGGAGGCCCAGCCCCTCCTGTCATTCCTGGCACAGCTAGGGACATGGGCCGGGTCAATGGCGGGGGCCGGATCCCAGTGGACCGGCCAACGAGTGTGTCATCCCGGTAGACACGGTCGATGTGGCGTTGCAGCATGGCCTCTGTATCTGCACCAGCCTCTGCTTCTGCTTCCAGGGCCTGTAGGGACACCCGGACCCCTGTCCCTAAGGCCAGGCCAGCTGGGCGGCCATCCACTGTGGGGATGCGGATGGCATCTCGTGGACCAGGTGGTCGAGAAGTACCTGGTGCCTCACGCTCATTCCGCAGGCCTGGAGTGGAGAAGAAAGAAGCTATCAGCGGAGAGTCCAGCCAGAGCTCCCTGTTGCTGCCTGCCTCATCCGGGACTCACCGAGCTCCTTCTGCACATGCTGAGGCAGTCCCAGCACTGTGCTCCGACGCTCGCGCCGCCTGCGCCCCGACTTTCCAGATGATTTGGGAAATGAGTCATGGGGTCGGAAGGTGGAGCCTGAGGGCCAGTGAGGCACAGGGAAGAAAACCAGTTAGAACAGAAGGACTCGGCACATTCCACAGAGCACTACTTTTATAGGATGTTAATAACAGCTCTGGAGGCAACTTTTCTGGAAGGCTACTAGGCAACAATGACAATTTCTATTTAGTGAATGCTTATGATGATTTAGTAAATATACTATTATCACGTCAGCGTGCTAGAGTTTGGCATTCATCCCAAAAAGGTAAGTCCAAAAAGGTAAGTCCTGGGGCTGGAGAGATGGCTCAGTGGTCTAAAGCACCTACTTGAAACAAGCTTGGCAAAGCACAGGGACCGCGGTTCGATCCCCAGCACCACATGCCAGCCAGACCCGCCCCCTGGTGGGCTGAGCTGGCCACACACACACACAATAAATAAATGTAATAAATAAAAATAAATAAATATTTAAAAAAAAAAAAAAAAAAAGGTAAGTCCTTTTGTTATCCTTTGATTTTTATAGAACATTCAACGGAAGCTCAGAGGTTAAAGGTTCACCCCTGGTCACATAGCTAGCTCAGTAGTATATGAGGTCTCAAATGCAGATTTCCCAACTCTTCACTGTCCTACTTTACTTTGCCTTTTGAAATCTAAGAGGACAGAGGATAGTGCCTCCTAAATTCACTGAATCACAGAGCCTGGGATAACAGTGGATTAGTAGAAAAAAGGGAAGCTGTGGGTGCTGGGACAGGACAACGCCCGCCACCCTCTCTCCCGTGCCCAGGAATCGCAGCTGGTGAGCAGACACCTTTGCGCTGGATCATCTCCGAGCGGATGGACAGAGCATCCTCGGCCGTGGAGCTCTCAGCTGTGTAGGATGTAGTCTGGCTGCAGAAGGAGATGCTGTCTTCATCTGGCCCTGTCTGGGAGGACTGTTTGGGGGAAGAAGGCGATCAGGCCCTGACCTGAGCAGGCTGCCTCCTCAGGAGTCCCTGCTACAATTTCTGACTCACAGATTCCCCCAATATCACACAGCACCGAGCAGACATCAGCTAGGCAAGCCTGGACAAGCTCCCAGGATCATTCAGTCCAGAAGATATAGGAAGCAGAGAGACCCAGCAGCATACAAAGCTATGTTGGCCAGAGGTCAAGCAGGGAAGGAAGAGCAGTCCCAGCAGCTAGAGGGCAGGGCTCACCTGGATGCTCTGGGTGTCTCCATGGTCCCAGCTACCCTTGTTCAGTTTCTGTTTTTCTGGAAGACACCAGAAAGGGTGTGTGAGAGAAACCTCTGCAGCTTGGGGACAGAGAGACCAGCAGAGGAGGAGAGGCAGGGAGGGTTACCTTGGTGCTGCAGGGAGCGAAGCCCCTCCTGGGCCTGAGTGTGCAGCTCTTCCAAGTGAGGTGGTCGCCCACTGGGGAAGAAGACATTGTCCTGGTGCTCACCCACAACAAACCCTGGTCCCTGGCTGGATCCTACACTCTGGCGTTTGTCACTTTCAGCTTTGGCAGAGCCTAGTGAAATGGAAGAGCAAGAAAAGAGTGAGGCCTAAAGACCTGTGGGCCCTTAAGATGCGTAGGCACCACGACAAAGGCACCTGCACACACATGCAATGTCCACTTCCCCCAGCCCAGCTTGCAACCCAGAGCTGCTGGGTGCACGATACACACAGCCCCAAATACATACCCAAACTATACCTAAGGCTGCACACATCTGAGTACTCACACCACACAGAGCATTCCCCACGGCACTGTACACAAGGCACACAGACCCATTGTCTACGTACACAGCAACCAAAGGCTTCAAACATACACAAATCAGTACATGAGTATAAACCCACATATGTACCCACACGCAGCCTCCACATATCCACACAACACCCACACAACACCCACAGATCCCATTCTGTATATACACACAAAATGTTTAAGTATACACACCACTGTGTATCCACATGTCACTCAGGATCTCATGCAAGACACCCCTAGTGCACACACAGGCCATAGCAAATACATTTCTTATGTGTAGACCCCAAGCTCCACTTTCAGAGAAAACAAGCCACCCTTTTCATACAGGGCCTTGGCACAGACCCAGGGAGAAGATAACCAGAGGAAGCCGGGAAGGAGTGGCAGCTGACAGAAAACCCTGCGGGAAGAACACACTAAGGGCATAACCTCTGGGGCTCCCTACTCACCCATATGTATGGCTGCCCTTTTGTGGGAGATGGGAAGGAGAGGAGGGACCCAAGCTCCTCCACCCCCAGCCAGGGAACTTAGCCTCTTTGGGATTACTGTCCCAGGTATGCCCTCTCCCTGAGGCCCTGGCCCCTGGTGCAGAGGAGCCAGGGATCCATTACAGAGGATCTCATTACAAGCTCCGCCTGCAGAGGCTGGTCATCTAATCCTGGGGAGAGGGGCTGTGTCAGCACTTTGCAGCCCCCTCCCCCAAATGAAACCCACAACATAAGCAAAAGCGCTAGGAGTCATGTGACCTTGACAGCCCCTTGCACAGGGGCAGGAACAAAATAAGTCCCGTAAAGGGCCACACCCCAGGACAAGGTCTCCAGTTCTGATGGATACCTGTCATTCCTCCTTCCTCAGCCCACTCTTACACAGCCAGACTCCTGTCCCAGGAAAGCCACCAGAACTCCACCAGATCAAAGCTAGCAAGTCCTGCTGTCACCAGCAGGGGGGAGGAGGGCTCAAAGGGGGAAAGGCCTTGCCTAAGGTCACCCAGCAGAGAGGAGGCAGAGCCAGGATTAAACTCTGAGTTCCCAAAGGGGCCCCGAGTGTCCAAAAGCCCATTAAGCTGCAGCCCCTCGCTGTCTGAATGAAGGCCTGAGCCCCTCCCAAAGCCTCTCCACCCACGCCCCTCTACACAGTTCGGACAGAGATCCTCAACTTTCCGCAGTACTACTTTTCCACGCCGCTCACCACATCTCATCCCTTGTCATCTGCTGGGATGACTGGGAGGGAGCGCTCCTCTGTCCCGAAATTGGGCTACTGGGCTGTACCCTGTAAAGTGTGGGTACCCCTGCAGGGAGGCGATCTGGCCCGAGGGCCGCAGGCTTCAAGGTCAGAGACACCTGGGTCCATCCTCGCCAGCAGCAGCCAGACAAAGGCAGCAACAAAGCGGCTGGACAAAGGCAGGCCGCGGGCAGCAGAGGCCGGCCTTGTTTCTCACCCCCTCCCCCACGCCATTCCTCCTCCCAGCTGCTGTGATCCCCCTTCCACACAAAGGTCCAGCAGCGGAAGCTATCGGGGATCCCTCCCCTCCCCCAGCCACACCCACTCACCCTTCTTAAACAGCTCCAAAAGCGCTGGGAGGTGGCGGCCCAGGAACACCACCATGACTGCCGCCTCCGCCGGGGACCTCCCTCACACCCTTTCTCTCGAGCGTCCACAGGACACCGCCTTTACCCAGCGCAGCTCTACCCGCCCGCACCTCTGTGCAGCCACCTCTCAGCGCAGGAACCTGGCCGCAGGGGAGGAAGGCTGCTCCAGGCTCTCCTCCCACCTTCGCCACTGATCCCGCCCACCCGCCAACTCCACCCACACGTGGGGTCTAGGGGCAGAAGAGGGAAACTGAGGCCTGAGACTCGGGTGTTCTACAAAGGATAAACGCTGGGGTGGGGGGGGGCGGCTTATGACACTTAATTCTTGAGGTGGACTAATAACTGCCTCAGAGTCCTTGCCCAAATACTCAGGAACCAGAGCTAAGGGAAGGGTCCCGGCTACCAGATGGTAGATGGACAGGTGGTCAGGCCAGACTTGGCACGGTGCCCACCCCTACCAGCCCTCCCAGCTGGTAGGGTAATTCCCTGGGGAAGGCCTTGGCTCACAGAGCAGCCAGGCAGGAGCCCAGGGCCACCTGTGGAGATGGCCCGGCTATGAAAAGCCCCTCAAGGGGCAGGGACAGGGTGCATACTGGAAAGCCAAGAGATTGCCTGGAGCAGAATCAAGCTGTGGTCACAGCCCTGAGAAGTGCTCAGACCCACATGTCCCAAGGACTTTCTTCCTATTTTGGCAACATGACATCAGAGGACTAAGAGAAACCTAGAGCATTTTCCAAGGTCACACAGCACAGGCACAACTTCAACACAGACTTACTGTTCCCCGGCCCAGGATTCTTCCTGCTGGCCCCATGGTGACTTACTGATGTGCCAGATCCCCAGGCAGGGATAACAGAAGTGTCCAACAAACAGCAAAGTCAGTAAAGGTCTGGACCTTATGGGGTGCTGGGAGGTCCATCAGGCCCGGGCTCAAATCCTGCTCCAGCTCCATCACACACAAGTCATGATCTCTTTTGAGACTGCCATATCCATTCTTTTGGTCAGGTTAAGTTTTAAGCTAGTACAAGAGACTACAGCTAAAGGAGGAGAACTTTTATCGGTTCACAGGTATACACCTAGAATCCAAATCAGTGTCTGGCACATGCTATGCATCAATAAATAATGAATATATGAAAGAGGCAGGCTCATATTTGGTAGTAAAGATGGAGAAGTGGTGGCACCGAGGCCAGGCATGGTGGTTCATTTCTATAACCCAGTTAGTCTGAGGGGCAGAGGCAGGAAGATTGAAGTTCTAGCCCAGCCTGAGCAATTCAGGGACTTAGAAGGCTATTTAAAAATAAAAGGGGGGGGGCCTGGTGAGATGGCTCAGTGGTCTAAAGCACCTATTTGAACAAGCTTAGCAAAGCAAAGGGACCACAGTTCAATCCCCCAGCACCACATGCCAGCCAGCCAGCCGCGCCCTCTGGTGGCCTGAGCTGGCCACACACACACACACACAAATAAATAAATAAATAAATAAATTTGAAAAAAAATAAATAAAAAATAATAAAAGGGGGATGGGGCCAGGGAGAGGGCTCAGTGGAATAAGTGCTTCCCTGGCAAGCACAAGGGCCTGAGTTCAATCCCCGGTTCCGCAAAAAATAAATAAAATAAAGGGGGGTGCGCACCAGGGAGTTGGCTCAGTAGAATAAGCACTTCCCTGGCAAGCGCAAGGGTCTGAGTTCAATCCCCGGTTCTACCAAAAAACAAATAAAAAAAAATAAAAGGTTCTCGGGGAGATAGCTCAGTAGACTAAGCACCTGCTTAGGCAAGCACAGGGACCAAGGTTCAATGCCCTGCACCACATGCAACGCTGGCCCCGCCCGCGGGTGCAGGCACACTTAGCTGGCCACAGAGACCCTAAGTGGTGGTGCACACCTGTAATCCCAGCTCTGAGGAGGCTGAAAACAGGAGGATCACTATCAGTCTGTACTGGTACAAATACATTTTTAAAAACTAATAAAAATAAATAAATAAAAGGCTTAGGATGTAGCTCAGTGCAAAGAGTCCTTGGGTTCAATCCCCAGTAGTGCAAAAGAGGATACTGGAACTGAGACCCAAATGATGAAGAGCCAAGAAAGGTACAGGGAGCAGCAACTGCGAGACGGGCAACAGCACGATAAAAACCTTCAGGCAACTGGGCATGGTGGTGCACCTTGTAACCCCAGCACTCAGGAGGCTGAGACGTGAGGATCGTAATGAGTTCAAGACTAGCCTTGGTTACGTGAGCTCCAGGCCAGCCTGAACTACATAGCAAGACACTGTTTCAAAAAAGACAAAAAACACAATAAAATAAAAATACCTTTAGGCAGAGTGGTGGGTGAATACGTTGAGCAGAGGACAGAACAGCAAGAGGTGAGTTCAGAAGAGGGTAGAACCAGACCGGGCGGGGCCCCTAGGTCTTGGCAGAGTCTAGGTTATTATATTCAGGGAACTCCCGGAGGTTGATCAAGGAAGGTTTCAGTAGTTGCACTTTTACCATAATCCTTCTGGAAAATCCAGAGGAGCTGAGACTATGAAGAAAGGAGCTATACCATGCTATACCCCAAAATCACTTACAGACACCCCTCCCTGCTTGTTTACCTCAGATGTAGAACTCACAGCAGCTCCTGAGTTCTAAGACTCCTCTAAAGGTCCTTCCATACCCGCTGCACACCTCACAGGTTCTTTTGGGTTTATCTTTTATTTTTTTGAAACAGAGTCTTGCTGCATAGCCCAGGCTGGCCTTGAACTCATGGCAGTCCTCCAGCCTCAGCCTTCCCTAGGGCTGGGATTACAGGTATGCACTATCATGTGCAGTGAATGGGCCTTTTTTTTTTTTTTGGTGCCAGAAATTGAACTCAGGACCCTTTGCTTGCCAGGCAGGTGCTTGTGCTGCTGAGCTATATTCCCAGCCCGAATGGGCCATTTTTGAGACCACTTGGCTGAACCCTCTCTCTCTGGAGGGCGTAAGAGTTTATTAAAAACAAACAAACAAACAAAAAACCAAAGTTCATGGAGCTGAATAGTATGCATAGCTAACGTCTAAACATGAATCCAAAGTAGGCACTTTTATCTCCATTTTACAGAGGAGGAAACTAGCATAAACTTCACGTTATGAAGCTGCTGCTCTAGCCTCCACTATATAAATGAGCAGCATTTTCACTCAGAACCCGAATCCAGAAGCCACACTCTGTCATTGTG